GCAACCCACTCCAGTATTCTGTCCTGGAGAATTCCATGGACAGAGGAGCCTGATGAGGTCCATGGGGTCATGAAGAGTCAGACGTGACTGAGTGACTAACACTCTGACCCAACCCACAAAGCTCTGGCCACTGGGAAGGTAGAAGATTCCATCTGTGCTGTGCATGAAGACCATGAAGACTGTGTAATCACGGGCTCTGTGGTAAAGCTTGGGTTCCCTGGGGAACTCACTCGGGCCCTTGGTTCTGACAGTGAAGTCCCTTCCTTCCCTGCTTACCCTGCACTGCCGGTCGTGACAGGCCAACGCTGCCCCGAGGCCTAGCAGCGTCCCCACGACTCTCCATCTCCTGGTGCTGGAGTCACCCCCAGAGGAGGTGAAGCTGGAGCGCCGGGGCTGCAGTGGATCGTTTGTGCAGCAGGCCCGAACGCAGAGCCTTGCCGGGGTTGACTTGAGTCTGGAAGAGAGAGAAGTCTTCTTAGTAGTACACTTCTGATCCTAAGAAAGGGCTGGGGAAGGCCTGGGGTGTACCTCTCCCGGGCTAGCCATTGGTTCCTTCAGCTGGGATCACGTTTCTCAGGGATGGGTGGGACAAGGGGGATGTGGCTTTCCCTTTCCTCCCAGGCCACCATCTCAACCATTTCACCTGGCAGTTAAGCTGAGTGCCATAAAAGTACAGGGAGAAGGAGACATGGGCGAGGATGGAGGGCCTACCTGCAGGCCTGCCGGAGCCCTGGGGCCACAACTCTGCGCAGCAGCAGCATTATGGAGACCTAGGAGAGGAGGCAGATCCCAGGATCAAGATAGGAGTGCTGGGAGGTGATGAGATTAGGGCAGCTCGAGGCAATGGGTAGGTGGATGATGACACAGGAGACCAGCTAGGAGCTCTCTGGACAAATGGGGACAATTTTTCTGTGGTAACGAGGCCATAAAATGGGAGTAGGGATCCCAACGGGCCCTTAGAGAAAACCTGGAGGAATTCAGAGAGAGAATATGCTGACAGGATGGAAAGGAACAGGGGGGTGGGAGGGAGTCCCCTGAGAATCACCGGTTCTACATCCTCCACCCTTGACTCTGTGCGGTACAGAGAGCAATGGGAGCCAAAAGTCTATTGTCCAGCTTGCCAGTTTATTCTTTCTGAAGCTAGCAGAGGACAACTGAGGAGTGTGCTCACGTAAAAGGAGACAAAAAAGTAAAAATACAGATAGTGGCCACCTAATGAGGTGAAGGAAGCTCAGATTCTGGAGTCAAACTGCTTTGCGTTTGTAAAAACCAGTCCCGCCATTAACCAGCCCTGTTCCTGGGCAAGATACCAGGCCTCTCTGAACTTGTGTCCTCATCCATGAAATGAGATCTACCTAGCAGAGTTGCTGTGACGTGCAAACAAGTAATAACATTGCCATGGAAGGACTTTCCCTGCTCTTCCTCCGCCCACCCCTCAAACAATAAAAATTGAACCCAGCTGGGAACTGGATCCCAACCTGGGGTCCACACCCCTACCCTGTCTATGCCATTTCAGTGAGCTCAGCAAATTGAGTAGTTAATGGCCTGGGTGTCAGGGAACCGGCTAGAGAAGGAAGAAGGTAATTTTTCTGCTCTGGCTCGCAGCAGTTTTCTTCTTTACAGCACTGAGCAGATCACTGATCTCAGGAGGGCCAACGTGGCGAGTGGGGTGGGGCGAGCAGAGTCAGAATTGCCGACGAAAGGCAAGAAAGCTAGGAGTAGGAGCAGAGAGGCTGCATTGTACTCCCGGGCCTTGGGACCCTCACGCTCCCCGTCACTCCCCGTCAGTGCCAGCAGCTCACTCTGCTGGAGCATGAGGTAGAGCTGACTTATAGTGGAACTCGATCAGCCCAAGGTTCCAGTCTTGGGAGAAGTAGTCTTCTGCTAGGGAACAGCTGACACCCCCTTGTGCGGGTGGTGACCAGTCACTCCCCAATGTCACTTTGGGCAGAATATGGATATTTTACCGGGGCACAAGCAGCTGGCTCCACGTCACTGCCTAACAGCTGGTCCGAGAGTATTTTGTAGCAATAGCCCACGGCCCCAGGAGCACCCGGGTGGCGAAGGTGGAGGCGGGTACCAGCAGTTTTGCTGAGCCTGGGATTTGGAGCACCCCGGGTGCCAAACGCCCGCCCCGCCACCGCTCAGGTTATTGGCCTTGCCCCCTCCTCTCCCCTTTCCTAGCCCCAGCCTCCTTACCCGGCTCAACGAGCGCTGGGGGGCTGTTTTACCTTCTCCGTGCCCAGCGGTTATCGGCGACGGGGCGGGGTCTGCGCCGTGACGTCGTGCGGAGTACAGGACCACTCGCGCCCCTCGGCTCGTCCCCTGGCCATTGGCGGGCGGCGGACCGCCTCCCAGCTGCTGTGCCCGCCTCCTGGAGGCCAAGGCAGGCCGGGCGCCACCCCGGCTTGCAGATAGGACGGGCTGTTTTACCTTCCGCCCGCGCCAGACGGCTGTTTTTCCTTCCGCCCGCGCCCGACAAGGAGTGGGACCCTCAGGATGTTCGGAACAGTGTAAGGTGATGAGGACTCCCAAGGGCTGGGCTGAGAGGCGCTCCCGCCCCGCCCCGCCCCGCCCGCTGAGACGCAAGGTGCTTTCACTAGAGGCCTTGGCGTCCAGCCGGCTTTCTCCCGGTGGTGAGCTCCGCCTCATCCTCGGTTGCAACTACCACAGCCCTGTTTGCGTTTAGAGAAAACAAGATCAAAAGCTCAAGTCTTTTATTTTCAGGAATGAGAGCAGAAATGGGAGTCTAAAGAGTGGCTCAAAGGCTTCGAGATTCCTTGGTCTAACAATTTCTCCTCAAATTGTAGAAATAACAACACTAAATAACCAACCATCTTTTATATTTTGCTTAGTTGTCAGTTTATTTTAAAAGGTCGTTATTTAATGACATTTTAACACCCAAAAGTTGGAAGATTATAGTTGCTCATAATATCAGAATAAAGGACACTAATTAAATTGTTTGCTATTACCCTTTTATCATTTGGCTAGGGAAAGCTTGTCATTGGCGAGCTGTGGACCTGGGCAAACGTACCCAACACTGCCCTCTAGAGGTGAGAAGGCTGAGTTACAGCCTTACTTTTAAAACTCGACTGAGAGGCCAACACTTTCACTTTTTCCCCCCCACCTTTAACTTTGGAAGATCATTTCCCCTCCCTCCCTTTCTTCTTTCCAAAATTGAACTAGAAGAGCTTTTACTAGAAATGAGGAAGTCGTGTGGGGGTGCAGGGGTAGTGTGGAACACTAAGCAATATAAGGAAAGGGGAACTGACAGTGAAAAGGTAATTTTGGCTCTAAGGTTTTTGGAAAAAAGATTCCCAATTTAACTGTACAATTTAATCATCAGACAGGCCTGATGCCCAACCTATGCTGCCAGTCTTAAAAACAGGCTCAGGCTCTTTCAGCCATCTTGGACCCTGTGGAGGTGTGTGGAGTTCCTGCAGCTGAACTTTGGGGGCAAATAAGTGGGGCCTGCTGGGAACAGGACTTCTAAAACGACAAATATGTCTGGAAGGCTGTGGTCCAAGGCCATTTTTGCTGGCTATAAACGGGGTCTACGGAACCAAAGGGAACAGACTGCTCTCCTGAAAATTGAAGGTGTATATGCTCGAGATGAAACTGAATTCTATCTAGGCAAGAGATGTGTTTATGTGTACAAAGTAAAGAACAACACAGTAACTCCTGGTGGAAAACCTAACAAAACCAGAGTGATCTGGGGAAAGATAACTCGAGCTCATGGAAACAGTGGCATGGTTCGTGCCAAATTCCGAAGTAACCTTCCTGCTAAGGCCATTGGACACAGAATCCATGTGATGCTGTACCCTTTGAGGATTTAAACTTCTTGAAAATAAATAAAAGTGTGGATTAAAAAAAAAACAAAACAGGCTCAGTCCAAGGATACAGAGGAATCAGTTAAGGATTATCTGAAGCCATGGGATGAGACTTCTGCCTTGTAACTGTCACCCTACATAAAGCTACACACAGGCTTTATATAATCGACCTTCTAAATCTCAAGAACTTTCACTTTACAGAGGAAACTGAGGCAGAGAACAGCTAAGTAACTTGACTAAGGCCATAGCTAATAAACTGTCAGAGGTGGGACTGAATTCCAGGGTGTCTTTCCTGTCCTTCAGATTCTTTGGAATTTAAAATTCCTCCTGCAACCACACCTAATCTTTTCTATCATTCTCCTCGACCACTCCCACTTAGACTGTGAGGGTCAGAGCTTCAAGAATTCAGTAGAAAAGGAAAAGAATTTCCTGCTGAAATTTTCCTGTTGGGGTAGAAGTCACATGATCAATCAACAATGTTAATTCAGTGATTTATGAAACTTTCTTTAGGTCATGGTCTCAGGTCATGGATCCCTTTGAGATACTAATTAAGGCAGTGGGCCCTCTCCCTAGAGAGGCACACATAAAGCACTCACAACCACCACCTCTCCCTCCAGCCTCAGCTGTCTGCCCACAGGTCCACAGATGCCCACCCCCTTCCACATATACAGTCTGTGCTAAGCTAGGGACAGATCTGATGACCGCTCTAGTGGCTTGGGGACAGAAGTGATTAAACAGCAGTGAAGGGCTATTTTACAAATTGAATTATCTCACCATCCAAGGAAAGATGAGTGATAAGGAGTTGCCAAGATGCAGGGCTTCGCTGGTGGCTTAGCAGTAAAGAACTGCCTGCAATGCAGGAGACGTAACAGACATGGGTTCAATCCCTGGGTGGTAAAGATCCCCTGGAGGAGGGCATAGCAACCCACTCCAGTATTCTTGCCTGCAGAATCCCATGGACAAAGGAGCCTGGTGGGCTACAGTCATAGGGTCACAGAGAGTTGGACACGACTGAGCAACTTAGCATGTACGTACGCGCACACACATGCATGCACCAAGATGCAAAGGGAGGTGTGTTTCTGGTTCAGTAAAACATTAGTGGGTTGCCCTTGCAAATTTCTTGTATCAGAGAAATAGAAAAAAAAAAAAAGAGAAGAAGCAACACTCCAATACACCTTTTTTTCTCCTTTTTTACTTACATTAAATACATCGGTAAATCAGCAGTCGCATTCTGTTACCACGATTGTTATGTTGGGAGAGGAAGAAAAGGGAAAAAAGGCAAATGCTTTCTTAGGGGCAAAAAAAAAAAAAAAAAAAAGATACCCCGCCTTAAAAAAAAAAAAAAACTGATCAGAAGAAAAAAATGAAGAGCCGGGAAATAAAAACTAAGATTCCCCAAGCCCACCAGAGCTCAAAGAAAAGCAGAAGAGCTGCTAGAAAGTAGAAGGAAGGCAGCAGACAGGCCCATAAGTTAAGGCCAATCCTGTTCCTAAGTGGGGCAGTGGAAGGGAGAAGCAGCCTGGAGAAATGGTTTCCCAGCCCCAAGGCAATGAAACATCTTCACTCCTGCTCCATGGGGAAAACTGCACAAAGAACTTCATTTCTAAGAAACTTATGAGAACCATCCTAGTTCTTCCACTTGTTAAGAACGCACTGGGTGCTTTAGGGGGCTAATGGGTGCTGGGAAAAGAGGGGGAGAATATGCGTTTCAGGGCCGTGGGAACTAAGGCTGCCCCTGGGAAAGGAAGGGAATTGAGGCATAAGTGGAAGAACCTAAGCTCAGTCCTTCAGAATCTCAGCGTCATGGATTTCTCAGCTGCTCTGGAACAGAAAGCAGTCTACAAGCCCAAAAGGCAGAACAGTTCCAATCCTAGCTCACTATGGCCTCTCCTATCTTATTTCCCCCAATTTCCCCAAAATTCTAAGCTAGAACAAGAAGGAATTCAGAGTTCTCTCTTGCCTTGATGGCTTCCCAAAGACATCTTAAAATACCTGATGAGGGGCGTGGAGAGAGGCTGGAGATTTAGAAAGGACCAATGTCCTCTGGTGGTGAGACAGTCATGAGGGACCTTGAGTGCCAGCCATTCCCTGTCCACAGGAGCAGGCATTATGATACGAGGGGGCACAGGCTGACCTGGGCGGTGCAACTCCCTAGTGGTGTGTGGATTAAACCACTGGTTGCACGGGGGATGGGTTTGGGGCGGTAAGCACGGCCAACTGCAGGTTCTAACAAAGGAGAAAAGAAATCGGGCCTGCTGGGAGGCAGGGGGGCAGAAGAGACTGTACAGTGAGAATAAAGACCATACCTATTTACAGGGAAGTAGAAAAGACACAGTAATGGGTGGATCGAACTGAACGGGAACCCTGGAAAAGCGCAGAAAACTCCTCCCTCTGGCCGGACTCTTCACTCTCCTACAGTGAGTGGCCTCTGCTATCCTGAGACTGCTCCCCAGTTGCTCAGATAATCTCCCGGGAAAGGTAAACCTCCACCAAAGAGTCAGGCTGGCAAGAATACAGGTGCAGTGAGAATCAGAGTTGGAGGCAGCAAGCAGTGGGGGCTGGGCTCGAGCAGCCGCCACCGGCACTGTTCTCTGCACCTCCCCCCCAGTCTCACATGCACACTGGGTTCCACTTAATTAAAAAGAGGGCAAGTGTAGCACCCGAGCCGCCCATTAAACAACTATCACAACTGAACTACCATCAGTTAAAGTGCAAACTGCAGGGGGATACGGTGGCTGGGGCTGGGGCCATCTGAAGGCCAGAGAGAAAAAAATGCCTAAGTCAGAGGATGGGTATCAGAAACTGGTCCCTCCTCCATGTAGATCACAGCAGAGCCAAAGAGGCAGGCAACCAGTGAAGATTCTTTGGAGGACTCTGGGGTCCAGACTCTCCCCCATTATGGGGGAGAAGCTACCTAAGAAGCTGGGTGAGGGGGAAATCGGCCTTGCGAGAGTTCACGAGCCACAGATGACACTGCCTCTCCACCCCTTCCACTGCTGCAGTCAGCCAAGAGCAAGACTCCAACCTGTGCCTGGGAGCTGGCCGTCCCATTCCCACCTCTACCTAGAAAGACCCTCCACAAGGCCAACTCAGGGACTGCAGTGCTTTCAAATATGAGGAACTCCAACCAAACAAAAACACAAAGGCAATGTTTCCCTACTACCCCCTGCTCCGAGCCTTACTTTCCCCCAAGGCCCTTAATGTGACTGAACTGGAAACCTTCCTCAGTTCCTGGGTTCACCACCTTCTCCATCCTGGGGAGAGGAGGAAAAGGAGATCAAGAACAGAGACTGACCAAAAGCAGAAGGGGAAGGGGCAGGAGACCAAAAAAAAAAAAAAAGTTTTCTGAAAAAATGGGCAGAAGGAGGAAAGATGAATAGGTCACTGTCTTGCACCTATAATACAAAGTGAAGAAAGTTTGTTTTGGAAGGTAAGTCCTGGGGGATCTGACCCCCAAGCCCCAGAGTAGGGGCAGGAGGCCAGCGGCAACAGCGGCCTGGAGCCGCTGCTGAAGCGTTAAAAAGTGCCGGCCGTGACGGAGCCGCCAGGAGGCGGCCCTTGGGGCCGCGGGGGCTGTGTGCTGAGGGGAATGGAGGCTATTTCTGAGCTCTCCTGCTAGCTCCGTGCTTGTTTGCTGCTGGCCACCCCCTCAGTTGCTACAACACTGGCTCTTGTTCTGCTGGGACTGCTCGTGAAGATCCACACCCCGGCTTCGGCCTGCTGCACCCCCCAGATTCTGGGGTTCACTCTTTGGCAACTTCTTAGCTAGAGATAAAAACAGAAGGGAACAGAGTATGGTAGATTTTACTCATCTCCCCAAAAAAGACTTAGGGGAAAGGGGAAATGTGAGAGACTAAAAGAATGCTCTGAAGAAGGGAGGGTTCATTGCAAACAACACTGAAGATGAGGGGGCTAGAGCTGCAACCAAAGGATGGAGGTCACGATGGAAAGTTGCGGTATTTCCACACCTGAAGTTTTCATAAAGGGAGACACTCCCATTTATCCTTATGACCTGGGTTAGTGATCTTGCCTAGAGGCAAAGGAAAAACGACAGGAAGACCTCAGGCTGCTCTGACCTTACCTATTGCCAGGAAGAGATCGTTCACGTTCATAGCTGTCTTGGCTGAAGTCTCCATAAACAATAAGCTGTTGTCATCTGCATACGCCTGGGCCTCCTGCAAGGGGTGGGGTGTACTGGTACTCAGACTGTAGGGCAGGGACAAGTACTGCCTTTCCACTCCCATGTAGCACTGGAGCTAGGCAACATCCTAGGTTCCCTCCCCTCTGAGCCAGCTGGCCCTGGACCCATAATTTGGTGATGACTCCCTCAAGGGGTAACCCATGGTCTCCACCACTTAATCCAACAAACAGATGTCAGGGAACGTAATTACAGGGAAGAAGGTAAGGTGGTTAGGGGCTCTGGGTTCCAACACTTGAGTCCCTGACCTCACGTTCAATCGATCCCTCCTCCTCTCACACTGGCACCCCCACAGCTGGTACTGGCACTCCCCTACCCCTCTGCTCTGGAACTTTCTTCTGACTCCTCTAAAATCTCCTGGCTGGCATTAGAGTCACAGTGCTGCTGTATTTAACTTGGTGCAGAACTGGGGAATGAGATGATGAATGTCCTCAGATGAGGTTTTCAGAGAGGGCAGGTTTGGAAAAAAGAGGTCCCAAGCATAGAGGGAGTGTGTCAGAGGACTTGGTGGCCATCTTACTTCATACTCCACCATGCGCTTGTTGGCCAGGTCGGCTTTGTTCCCTGCCAGGGCAATAACGATGCTAGGACTGGCCTGTCGCTGTAGTTCTTTTACCCATGTCTTCGCTCGGGCGAAAGTTTCCTGGGAAAACACAAGGATGAGAATGGGTAGGCTGGAATGACTGCCAATCTAGGGCTATCACCTTCAAAGTCCAATCTCAAAACTCACCTCTTCTAAGCAGCCGTTACTCACCGAAACCATCCGTTTCTGGCAAGTCATTACCTCTGTCTTCTCAACACTTGGAAGCATAATTTGTATTCTTATTTTGCTATTTCAAGAACCGGTTTTCTCTCCCCCACCTAATTTAATTCCTATAAATAAAAGCAAGGACAATCTTCTCAGCCCACTTACCTGATTAGTAATGTCATAAACCACAATGGCAGCTTGGGCACCTCTGTAGTACATGGGGGCCAAGCTATGGTATCGCTCCTGCCCAGCTGTGTCCCAGATCTCAAACTTGACTGTCGTGTCATCTAGACAAACAGACTGGGTGAGGAAGGCCGCTATGAATGAGAGAACAGAGAAGCTGGTGTAAGTGGGAGAATGCACTGGAAGTCCCAACCTCCTTCAAAATATCTCCACGTCAGTCTAAGACCAGTCACTACCCAGGCCGTTCAGCTACAGGAAAGGTTTAGCATTCTCCTTCTTATACCCTGGAAAGGTTTAGCATTTTCCTTCAGGTCCTGGCACCAGAATTAAGCCTGCTCTTGGCTAAATCCTTCCTGCCAGAAGTCTTTCCAGCTAAGGAATGGGGGCGCCATGGTAAACTCTAAGGGCTAGAAAGAACCAGCTTTAATACCAGAGTCAACTCTCTTCTAACCAAAATAGATTAAGAGATAATGAGAGACAATAAACTTCAGATAAAAGTCACATCAAGAACTGATTAGAAGATTTTAAAGCCTGATGTGAGGTCCCACCATTATATTATTTGGCTGTTACTTTTTTATATCACTTCTGCTGGTCTAAGAATGTATTTCCAAGGTAAGTAATAAAAGTGGGGAAGGAGAAATATGGGGAGTTCTCATATTGAATTAGCACCCTATTTCGGGATAGTGGCAGAGCGAAGGTAGCCAAGATAGGAAAGGCATATCTCTTTACCTTTTGTATTTAGCTCTAACCTCTGCTTTACCAGATGTGTGCATCAGAGATCATCTAAGGAGCTTTTCCAAACATACACGTCTATACTGCCACCAATCTCACCCTCCTTCCAAAACTAATCAGCCAACCTGAGGTAGGGCCCAGCATGCTCCCCAGGAGTTTCAGATGTACACCTTTGATTATAAGCCACTGCCCCAAATCAACCATGCTCAAGACGACCCTCAACTGAACTTCACTGGCATTAAGATGAGAGCAGGAAGAGGAAAATAGTCTGAGATTTAAAAAAAAAAAAAAGTGGTTTTTTTGGTGCTCAAAGGCCAACCTTTCTAACTTTCTTCTAGGAAGAGGATGAACAGAGACCTGTTTTGGGGCACTTTGGCAGTTTTTTTGTTTCATAGAAGATTTCCATTTCTGGGAGCTAAGAGGGCCGGCAGCATAATCGGGTCCCTTGGCCCCCTTCAGCAGCCCTTCTCAACAAGAGCTCTCTCCTTTCCTGAAGTGCTTACCTCCAATGGTGCTCTCCTGGTACTCGTGGAACTGCCCTTTGACAAAACGTAACACCAGGCTGGACTTCCCCACCGCAGATTCACCCAGCAGGACCAGCTTGAACTGGCATATTTTGCTGGCCTGGGGCTGCCCGTTGGGCCTGGCTGTGCTTCTGCTAGTCATGGCGAGATTATCAGAGTGGGAAAGGGTGGAGGGAGGGGGATGCCACAAGGCGGCGGAGGGGGAGGGGGGGGGGAGGGGGTGTCCAGGCTTCAGCAGTTCTGCAAGAAAAGAAGTGGGTGAAATTAAACACAGGGCCATGACAACGGCAACCATTTTTTTAAGAGAAAGGACAGAATCTCTTCATCTCTTTGCTCCAATAAGGACTTCTTAAGTCTTATAATCACCCACCATTAAAAGCTTTACCACTGAGAGGGTCCCAGGCACCTGGCACTCAGTGGTTAAGAGCGGGGATCAAGAAAATAAGAATAGCATTTAAAGTAGAGTGTGCTGCAATGGAGAGACTGAAAACCGTGTGACAGTAGTCTTTAATCTCCCAGTCATTCCCCACCAGGTCTTCAAAGAACAGCAAATCGATCAACTTTTAGCTGGCCTAAAGAACACCCAGGTCCACCCAAAAGTACCCCAGATCCCTACTATCTCTTTGGTGTCCAGGTGCTGTCCTTTTCTTACCCCCTCTTCTTTCTAGCCTTCAAAACGAGAAATTCACTCTGGGGGTGTAGGTAGCAGCATCCCTCTGAGGAGCTAAGGGATAGCCTCTGGTTCTGTGTCCTTCATGCATGACCACTTCTGAAACTGACATCTCTGAAAATCAAACCAGGATCCAATTACCAAAATCTACCCTTTCTCACTTCTGCTCAGAGTAACAGAGAAACAGACTAGCTTCAGTGTTAACTCTTTCCCTTTGCTTCTACCACCCCTTTGAGTCTGAAAATCTATCGAGTCAGTAGGCTTGATTTACTCTCAACGTGCGGCTCCCTTCTTGGTGCCTAGGGATAAGACTACGCTGCACATGAAAAAGGCCTAACAGCTGTAGGCCTCCAAGTCAGGCCCAGAGGAAGAAGGCACACCTTCTAAGCACAGGCAGCGGTCTCCAGAAGGCGGCACAGGGGTGAGTCTTCAAGCAATAAATACGTGACCAAAGAATATAACTGAACCATCTTCTCTACCTTCTAAGTGGCTAAGAAAGCTGGTGGTGAAGAGGATACAGACAGAGGTTGGGACTTTGTCCACTCATCCAAAACTGAATATATTTCATCATCCTGACTGAGGGGGAAAGAACTGAGATTCAAAAAAGCGTTAGCGTGATCAGAACATGCAAAACCACCTCACCCCAAAATTAAGCACTGCTTGGACTGTACTTTGCTGGTTCAAATTGATACTTCCCTTCTCCAAGACTGATTCTAGTGACTCCATAAAGATCATATTCTGTGACATATATAGTGAAAAAATAATTGCCTTGGGATCAAATCAGGGTTAAAAATATCTGCAATATTAGTAAAGATGGAAAGGACAGAAAAGCCATACAGAAAGAAGCATAGAGGAACAAAAGCTGTGGAGTCCAATTCATTGGATTCATTTTAGTTCTGCTTACAAGCTAGAACTTTTGGACAAGTTACTAAATCTACCTGTGCATTTGTTTCTTCATCTGTAAAATGGGATAACAGTCTATGATATGAGCACCTATAAAGAGCACCTATGAGCACATATAAAGAACATAAATATTTGACATTATTAAGCTACTAATCATTATTATTAATTTCATGACATCAAGAAAATTTTTCTTTCTGAGCCTTCTACCATTATAAAGTGGAAAAAATACCTATCTCATAGAATACCCCTAAGGATTAAGTGAAGGATGTATTTAATACAGAGCTAATAAATAGTAAGACAGGTATTATTTAGTGGCCCTGATTCACAGAAATAATAAATTTAATATATTAAAGGACATCTCAATATCAGTTGTTATCAATATAATCCTAAAGAGCAGCCATTATATGAAGGAGGTAGAGGAAACAAGGGAAAAAAAAGTGTAAGAGGAAGTTAACAGAGAAACGAGACAGAAACAAGAAAGCCCAGAAAAGTCTCAGCATAGACTAGATTAAGACAGAGGACTGTATAAAATTACTCTGATCCTACTGGGTATTTTGTAGTTCCCTACGTCAATGAGTCCTAAGAATTCAGATATACATGTGCCACTTTGTGATGAACTTTTCACTGGTTTATGATGAAATGATTAAAATAAAAATGATAGAGCAAGTTTTTCACAAAGCTAAATTTATTCAATTTAAGAGTATCCTTTATAACACAATTTCTAACTTCTTAGTATCAATTTTCTCTCAAAGGTAAATATGTATTTATTGCATGGGTAAGCCTCTAAGACCTATAGTTCAATTTAAAAAAAAGCAAAACACCCGGCTGATTCTATTTCTATAAACAAAGCAAAATTCTACAAAGAAAAAGGTATGGAAAGATACATGCTCATCTGTTAACAGTGGTTACTTCCCTCTAGGGAGAATGAGACTAAGGAAAATGGTATGTAAAGAACTCAAGATATTTTCATTCTACATAAATCTTTCTTTTATTAACAGGAAATATATATATATATATTTAAAGTTTCCTACGTAACTTTTTTTTAAAAAATGCTTTCTTTAAAAAATAAATAATGGTGTTGCTAGTCAGTAGTAAGCTTTCTAAATATACTTATGTAGAAAAATAGAAACCCTTAAATTTCATTTGTCTGTTAAATCCAAAATTCTGGGAACCAGTACTGCAAGAATCAGTATTAATTAGTTTCTTAACTACCAGTCACAGTTCTTTAACTCTTTTCGTCCTCAAACCTTTAGAGCAGTGTTTTTATGCTGTAAGGCAGTAGTGATCTTGAAATCGCTTGGTGGATCATGATCAGTATATTAAAAAAAGAAGAAAAAAATTACCATGTGGCATGCAAATAATAAGCAAGAGAATCATTTTGTGAAAATGCTTCACTTGTGGTTGTATGTACACACACTGAATTTTGATGTAAAAAAACTTTTTTTTTTGAGCCATGATTAAAAGTTTTCACAAACACTGCTTCGGAGAGGCCTGCCACTGAAAGATGGGTTAGTAGGAAGTCTAGTCTCTGGCTGGCCTACAAAAGCACTTCCAGGTGAAATTAAGATGAGGGCCAAATATAGCTCTCCAGGGGCTAGAGGTTTTCCAATTCTGCTACTCAAGTCATGGAACAATCATGAGAACAGAACGCTGACGGACAGGCAGTCCTGCACAGTGGTGGTGGCTCTGGAGTCAGGCAAGCCTTGGGATAAAGCCTTCTCCTCTGCTTAGTCCATTGACCCACTAGGCCACTCACTCCTTTTGCCTTTCTGAGCTTCGGCTTCTTTATCTACGAGGATCTGGGGTGGAGTAGGAAGGATAATAGGGGAAAATAGTAAAAGGCAGAATTTGAATTCAAAGTACTGGGTACATTTAAGAAATATGTTTCTCTTATACAGTTTCTCAGCATCTGTGAGGATTATTTTTAAAATATATTTATGTAATACTTCATATACATTGTTCCTAAGTTAAGAGGATAGGCCATTATAACTGTACACTTGAAAACAGATGACATGACAGAGAAAAAAAAACCTACAGATGATAAGCTGATCAAGTTTCCTTTAGGTTGATACACATATACTATACTCTTAAGAAACAACAGGAAAAGTGACTAGATTCTTTGACTTACTCCCTCACATTTCAAAGCATGTGATCCAAGGGGCAGAACACTAAGTTAGAGTGAACTGAATTCTCAATAGCAGACACATCTTTCTAGGCCTGGGAAAACAGCAGGAGTTGGAGAAGTGTGATGAAAGTTGAAAGAGGAGAGTGAAAAAGTTAGTTTAAAGCTCAACATTCAGAAAACTAAGATCATGGTATCTCGTCCCATCACCTCATGGGAAATAGATGGGGAGACAGCGGAAACAGTGTCATATTTTATTTTTTTGGGCTCCAAAATCACTGCAGATGGTGATTGCAGCCATGAAATTAAAAGACGCTTACTCCTTGGAATTAAAGTTATGACCAACCTAGATAGCATATTAAAAAGCAGAGACATTACTTTGCCAACAAAGGTCCGTCTAGTCAAGGCTATGGTTTTTCCAGTGGTCATGTATGGGTGTGAGAGTTGGACTGTGAAGAAAGCTGAGCGCCGAAAAATTGATGCTTTTGAACTGTGGTGTTGGAGAAGACTCTTGAGAGTCCCTTGGACTGCAAGGAGATCCAACCAGTCCATCTTGAAGGAGATAAGTCCTGGGTGTTCATTGGAAGGACTGATGTTGAAGCTGAAACTCCAATACTTTGGCCACCTGATGCAAAGAGTTGACTCACTGGAAAAGACCCTGATGCTTTGAGGGGTTGGGGGCAGGAGGAGAAGGGGGGGACAGAGGATGAGATGGCTGGATGGCATCACCGACTTGATGGGCATGAGTTTGAGTGAACTCCGGGAGCTTGTGATGGACAGGGAGGTCTGGTGTGCTTCGATTCATGGGGTCGCAAAGAGTCGGACACGACTGAGTGACTGAACTGAACTGAACTGAAGATAGGAAACAGTTGGGAATTCCCTGGCGGTCCAGTGGTTAGGACTCCATGATTTCGCTGCTGTGGCCTGGGTTCAATCCCCGGTCAGGGACCTGCAAGTTGCATGGCGTGGCCAGGAAAAAAAAGGGTAGGAAACAGTCACAGACACTCGGGTTGAAAAGCCCTTGGTCACTAACCCCGACAGATGGTAAGTCAAGCCAGAGTCAATGAGCAAACTTTCTTCAACTGTCAGAGATCAGTAACTACTAGCTTGGGAAAGACTATCTCCCACTCCAATGTTTCAGCTCAAGACTGTGTCCCGTCTTCTGTGTTCACGGTAACTGCCGGGCTGCCCATCTTTGTGCCTTCATCTTTACTCCTAGCTTGTTAGTAAGAGTATCATGTTTCCTATGCAACAGCTAGACTCTCAAAAGATCAGGGGTACAGAAGTGGAATAATACACATAAGATTCAATTGATTTCTCCCCTATTCTGGTGATGATTTTTTTGGCTGACAATCGACAGTGGGCAAACGATCCATCTGAAGGCAAAAAACAAACCACAGCCAACCAGTCAGGTGGTGTGATGATTATTACCTTCAAACCTGAGGCAAGAAAGGGAGGAGGAGATTTTCCTTCCCTTCAGCCCTTTCAGTTCAGATGAGAATGACTTAACTTTTCTCAGAATTCCAGCTCCACAAGAATG